TTTGTGGGTGTGGGGGGGGGGGGGGTTGCCCTGGGCCGAGACAAGGAGAGCCTCCAGGGCAGATCAAGGAGTTGAGGGGGCCATGGTGGAGCAGACAGTTCAGGAAGCCATGGCAGAGCAGGCAGACTAGGAGGCATTGGCGGAGCAGGCAGACTAGGAGGCCATGGCGGAGCAGACAATTCAGGAGGCCATGGCGGAGCAGGCAGACTAGGCATATGACCCCCACCCCAAATTTTCTTGGGGAAAATGTGGAATTCTGGGGGGCACCCTGGAGGCACGGGCACTTGAGGGCGGACACTGGAGGGCGCTCTGGAGGAGCAGAGCTGGCGAACTCGGGGGAATCAGGAGACGAAGGAGGGCTGGACAGGACCAGCAGAGGCGAAGAGGACTCAGGAGATGATAGAGCTTTCTGGAGAGGATTCTAGGGTAAGCATAGGAGCCTCGAACTCTGGAGGTAGCGCCATGTCCATAAGCGCTGAGAATCACGCTCGCGCAGACTCAAGCGCTGGAACTGTCGATGACCACCTCCTCCTCTTCTGCCTCTTCCTTTGGGCTGAGGTTTGAAAGAGTGAAGCGTTCGGCAGGTTTGAGAGAGCAGCGGGCTTGAGTGAGCAGAGGCCGGAAGGCTTGCGTCAGCGGCGGCCGGTGGGCTTGCGTTAGCGGCGTCCACATGTGATGACCCTGGGCTGGACTCCGCCTCGCGCACGGTGAGAGCTGATCCGGCAATCCACAGTGCGAAGTTGATGTAGTTCTTCAGCGACCAGAATGGATCAGCTCTGGGCATTACGAGGCCGCAAGAACCGCAAGAAAACACACAACTAAACTTAAAGTAGAACGGACAAAGGCTAAGGGAGAACTGAGGGTTTAAGTAGGGGAGCAAACAAAGGAACTGATGAGTTAATTAATCAAACACAGGTGAACAGAATGACAATTAGGAGACTAAGTAAAACTAGGTCACAGGGGAACAGGCTAACTGAAAACACAATGAAAACCAGGACAAAAACTAAACATAACCCTAAAGCCTGGCTCACACTACAGGATTTTTAGCCCGATTTCGCCCCGATTTCCCCCTCCCGAGAATCGGAGCAAAAATCTTGTCGAGCCCCTCGATCGGTCCCGATGTTCGGCGCGGATTATCTGGTAATGTGAGGCGTTCACCGATCGAATCTTGCACCTACCGATCTGCTCGCACACAAATCGGGGCCGCCCCGATCATATCAAACATGTTTGATATTTAGGATTTAAATCGGGATGATGACGGCTATATGATTACGTCAGTACTCTCACAATAGCCAATGCACGACCGCAAAACAGCTGCTGTATGGCCCCGTTGGATAATGGAGACGGAGAAAACTGCTTCTTGAGACGTTTTATAGTAACACGACTGTCTGTATAATGTGTCGAAAACGTATCACAACCGGGGGGCCGGTGCCACCACTGGCCACCACGTAGACACGCCCCTGGTCACGAGGCGATCACTTTTTTTGTGTGTCCAGTCCTCTGGCATGATACTGGCTTATAACTACTGGCTTTATCACCTGAATATTATTTGTATTTAAAATATATTTTTTTAAAGAAATGTGTTTTAAGGTAGGAGAGCATTGTAAAATAGATGTGCCAACAGAAATGTAATGGATTAACATTCAGTTATATGTAACTCTTATCTCTTGAGGGAATATACAGGAAGTCAAGGAACTTCACCATTAGACTTTTTTGACAAAGTAAGTACCGTGAAAGTGTTTCTGAAAGTGATTTCTAGGTCATTCTTATAGTTTGGTGGATTTTGGAATGAGCAGGTTTGTTTGTTTGTTTGTTTTTTAATTAGCAGAAGATTTAGGAATCATTTTAATAGATATATAATATGTTTCAAGTATATAAATTGACAGGGTGGACATGTTACATTTTACACTATTAAATTAGTCTTCAGAAAATGAGGAAGAGAAAAATTATAGGACTGATATTTGCTTTGATGACACAAGTCATTTAGGCAGGGGCGAATTGGCTATCTGGCAATTCTGGCAAATGCCAGAGGGGCCGGACCATTTTGTTTAATGTGGGCCGGTCAGATTTTTGCAAAAGATGGATCAAGTGCAAAAAACAACAAAAGAGAGTATAAAGGTTTATGACAAAGTGGCATTTGTCACGTTTATGGTGGAAGTGGTGAATTGTTCTGCACAAACGGAAAGCCGGACAGAGAGAATCAAAATTATAATAAAAGCAGCTGAAAAATACCTAGAGATAGAGGGCATTTCAGTGGAAATGATTAATGACAAACTAAAGATGCAAGCATCAAATACTCAAACAGTATGTGGTGGTTCATAATGGTGTTAACAATATTTCAATGGAATGCAAGAAGCTTAATTGCAAATGGGCAAGAATTTAAAAAGCACATATCTAATCATGAAAACAAACCGGATATCGTTATGAGATGATTAAACATTTATCAGACGAATCTTTAGGTATGGTTTTAAGTTTTTTTAATAAGATTTGGAAAACAGGCATGATCGCCAGTGGATTGGAAGCACGGAGTAATTGTGCCGATTGCAAAACCATAGGTTACAGTTGAGGATGAGATATTGGGCTGGTGTAAAGAGTCACTCAGAATATCATCCAGTTAAAAATCTTTTGAAAGACTGTTGGGAATATGAATATAAAGATTTAGAGAGCTTCGGTTGGACAGTTAGAAAGCACCCTCCAGTGGCCGCTCCTCGAAAATGTTTATTGTGGTTTCTTCCCCTTTTGTTGGTTTAGCCATACTATCATTAGTTAATTACCCTCATTGTGATCACCTGTCTGCCAGTAATTATCCACCCTATATTAGTTCCTGTCTGTCTGAGCCTTAGTTGTCGGTTATTGTGAATGTTACCCCGAGTGTGTGTCTCTCCTACCTGAATCTGCCTTGTTGTGTCTACATTAAATATCATTATTGGAATCCTTGTCGTCCTCGTCATCCTGCCTGCCTCCACACACCCGTTTCCGTGACAGGCATATTGCATCAGCTATTTTTTGGTGTATCGCCCTAACCTTAGCAGTTCATATCTTCTGGTTCCTCCATAGAAAGAGAAGTTACACAAGCATCACAATTACTCATGCTTAGAGTTAAGGGTTTAGAACGAACCACTAATTTTATGTATTGCACTTCGTGCGTAATCATTTGTGCAACAGACCTAAAATAGTGAAGTTATTTTCAAACAATTTTAGCTTAGCTGATAAATCATATATGTAGACAAAATATCATATAGTAACCAACCAGACAGCAATGGTACTCTGAAGTTTAGAACACCTTTGCCAACACTTTAGCAAAACTAGCAACCACATAGCGATATGTTAAAACTACCCAAAAACACCTTAGTCACTGCATAACAACACTGTTGTGTAAATTGTAGTCAGAACAACTTAGCAACCACCCAAGACACCCTGGCAACCACACAGCAATGAGCTAAAAATAAAGCTTGTTGATTTTAGATTTCATATTTCCAAATGTGCTGAAAACACTGAAAATCTCAGTAATCAGTTGTTTATTGTTGCATCTTGTGAAAAATTAGATGCATTTGAAATGATGCAACAGCATACATAGGCTAGATAACAACAGATTACACAGTAGTCTCTATTGGTATTGAAATTGTGGCACTTCTTGGCAGTGGACTGATTTTCTGCCTTTCATTTGCTAATATTTATGATAATTTATTTTTGGAAAGAATATAAATTGTAATTGTGGTATATATATAACATTTTTATATTTATTTTTTATTTTTTAATATCCTTCTCTCTACCAAATCTGTTCACTCCACACTCCAGATCAGTAGGTGGCGGTAATGCACCTTTAACTTGGTTTGCCAAAACCGCCAATAAACATCAGAAGAAGAAGAAGTCCCGGATGATTCTGACCAATCAGAATGTTCAGCGCGGCTGCAATGTCACCACGGGAGGCAGAGCTGAATCACAGGCTAGAGCAGGGGCGTCCAAACTCGGTCCTGGAGGGCCGGTGTCCAGAAGACTAAGTCACGGATGATTCTGACCAATCAGAATGTTCAGCGCGGATGCAATGTCACCACGGGAGGCGGAGCTGAATCACAGGCTAGAGAGAGACGCAGCGCACGTGAGAAGATGGAGAGTTTGGCAGCTGTATTCTAGTTCATTCAGAGTTACTTTAAAGACATTGACTTCGAGTTTATACTGGGTTACAGTGTGCGTACATGTGAAGTAAGTGATCAGCTGTTATTCTTGTACCGATTAAGGAGTAGCCAATTAACATAGCACTGCCTGTATTACCTGCTCGATTCAGTGCATTCGCGAGTATTTCTGTGATATTCCTTGTTGTGCGATGCTTATATGCTATACATTGTGTTATTATTGAATATTGACCTTATTATTGTGTGTGCGCGTTATGCGACGGTTCTTGTTCGCATGTAGCAATCATCCACTTAGTACATGTCCAGGCATGTTACCCTGCCCTCGTGCTGCATTCATGTGCGGATATTGTGGACATTTAGAGCATAAGCGCCCATGTTATATAGTTTAATATAGCATGGTTATATTTATGTTGTGTGCTGTTTAGTGTTTTAATGTTTATTGTGGAACATTTGTATATTCATATCATTAAGTTTATTTCTCTTGTTTAATCCATTTCAGAAAACCACATCCATGTATACCCACAAAGTTTTCAATAAATCAGACATCAACCAACTCCATTGAGTGCTTCTCTTCAATTAAGAAACCATCTCACTCATTCCTGACAGACTGCCTACTGTGTTTCACACCCCCATAATACAACCAACGAACCCCTTCATTTCATCATCATATCAGAAACCTCTCTAATATGGTGTACTGTTTTCTATTCTGAAGGAGTTTTGTCAAGTGAAGTGAATTTCAACAGATATCCTGGAAAAGGGAGCAGTGAACACTTTGTAGCGACCCTGTCAATCTAAACGCAGTCGTGATGTTCCCAGGTCAGTTATTTCAATGATATTTTTCAAGGTGTAGGATCCTTTTCTGCATATACTTTAAAATCGTGTACAGTGTAATTGAAGTGTAGGATGATGTCATTTGCTTTGGGTAATTAATTAGAAGACATTTTGATGACACCATTCTTAAAGGGATAGTTCACCCAAAAATGAAAATTACCCCCTGATATACTCACCCTCAAGCCATCCTAGGTGTATATGACATTCTTCTTTATTTTGCTCTCTCCTCTGCGCTTCCACGTTCGTCACCGCGTTTGCCTATGTGCTACGTCATCCGCTGGACGCCACTCTCTCGTGAACGTGCGTACAACAGTTAGCGGATGCTAGAGATTAAGATTTATAAAGTTGTAAATATGGATATTTTTCTTACACAAACGCATCGCGTCGCTTCAGCAGGCCTTTATTAACTCCCCGGAGCCGTGTGGACTTCTTTTATAATGGATCGGTGCAATTTTTTGGACTTCAAATTTTGGGCTACCATCCACTCCCATTATAAAGCATGGATTAGCCTGGACATTATTTAATATAACTCAGATTGTATTCGTCTGAAAGATGAAGAAATCATGGGGTAATTTTCATTTTTGGGTGAACTATCCCTTTAAGTTAACAACAACAACAACAGCAACAACAACAACAAATTACGTTAAATAGGCATAAAACGGCACAAGGCCTTCACACATATTTTGATAGCCCTTCTCATATCCTTGGAGATACAGAAAAATATAATAGGATCAAAACATGCGTTTAAAGTGCTCAGCATTAAAGTTTTAATGCGCCAATATGGGTTTTCTTTTTTGATGAAGCCCACTATGTGTGATGCATTGTAGGGTGCAAAACTAATGGCAAACACAAGGAGAGTCCCCACAATCAGTCCAACCACCCGGAGTTTACGCTGTCGCTTGAAGAGAGGACACTTCATCAAAATATGAATTAAACTGATGTAACAGAAGCAGCAGATAAGGAGGGGTAGAAGGAAAAACACCACTACTATACTTAGACGTGCTGGAAGCAGTTCTCTCAGCTGTTTTGCAGTGAAGTTACTGTAACATCTCTGAGGTTCCGCCACCAAATGGCGTTTATTAGTGATGTTGTCCGCATCATTAGAATCTAAATATCATAGCACCCAGATGATAACGCATATAAATGTTGTGTAAATGATTCTTTTTGGACTTTTATACTTAACTGGAAATGCTACACACACATAGCGCTCAGCGCTAATTGCTGTCAAGAACAGGCCGCTGGAATAAAAAGGTAGAAAGAACATGAACATATTGATGTGGCACAAAATATAGGGCATGTTCCAAACCATGTTATCTACAGCCTCTTTCATCTTAACAGGCAGGAAGGTGAGGAAGACAAGGTCAGAAGCAGTGAGGTTCAACATGAATATGTCAATGGGGATAGGTTTACGGTGAATCTTGCGAATACATGAGCAGAATGCCAACACAGCATTAGGAAAACCAATCAGGAATGTGATGATATATATGGCGAGAAACACTGTTGAATCTTCTGACATTGTTGACGGCCTGTGGTAAAGTTTTTTACTTTACTGTAGAAAACAACCCTGCAAGTCCTTAAAACAGCACCTGTAATATATAAACACGCACAGTTCTGAGATGTATTCTCTTCGATTTTTTTAATATTATGAAAAAATGAGCAGAATAAAAGTACTTAAACTAAAAACAATCGGTTTTATTTGGAACTTACCAAAATTTCTCTCTATTATTGGTAGATCAAAATCAATAGACTCTTTTGAAATGTGCTTCCGTTACGCACTCTAGACACCTGGATGGCATAGATACAGAAAAGCGCAGAATGATTTGCATTCTGCCATATTATGAAAACATGTTTAGAATTGAGCCACTGTACCCCCCACCCACCCAGTTTCTTTGCATCAATACCCTCAGGCCTACTAGCCTAGCTAATGCTAATTAAAAATACAAATCATCAGACCACACTTAAAGTCTGGAGGCTGAAATAAATGGATAGTTATTATTATTCATTCTTGCATCCATTTTTTCACATGTTTAAGCATTGTTGTGCAGTTCTTCCCAGGTTTGATTGTCTTAATGATCAAGTCTGTCTAGCTCCAAAATTACATAAAAACACCATGAAGTTACTTACATTTACATTTAGTAATTTAGCAGACGCTTTTATCCAAAGCGACTTAACATTAGTCTCTATTCCAAGTCTAAAAAAAAATAGGATTTTTTTGCTTTTCTTTTTACTGTTGCACAGATGTGATTATTATGAGCTGTTAGTATGGCAAGAGCAGCATAAACATTCTTTAGAATAACTTTTCTTTCTTTCTTTCTTTTTTTCTTTCTTTCTTTCTTTCTTTTGGCTAAACCTTAAATGGTTTTTGCATTAAATGACATATTGATTCCATCATCTATGTTCCATGATCAAACGGCTGAGAGCTTTTTGAAAAAAAAAAATGCTGTATTGGTAATACAAAACAAATGACTGTGCCAATCAAAAACATAAATGAAATAATTCACAATGTAAATTTTGATCTTCATACAATCAGGTTTAGGTATTTTTAATTAATAATCAACTATAAAATTCTGATGCATATATAATGAATGACAATTAATGAAAACTATTGTGAAAATGTGAGAAAATCATGCAAATCAGCAGGGCAACATTGTTGCACTGCTATCATCTTGTATTTTTTTTTTTAATAAAAATGCATATATAACACTGTTATTTCAAGAAAGCTTTTTATATTTTAGTGCATACTTTGGAGATGTTTTGTAAAAATTACTTACCAGTTCTGTGTTTTTATAGTTTTTCACCACAATAAAGAAGTAAAACAGGTGTAATCCAGTTCAACATATTTTCAAAAACATCTAAATAGATTTTAAGACTTTTAAATGCTCACCAAAACTTTTCAGGTTACGGCTCAGGCTTCCATCGCACTTTTAACAGTAGATTTTAACATGCATGTTTATCAGTTCTCTGATCTTTCCTGGGTAGTGCCCTATTGCAAACCGCAAACTATCACATGGGTTTTGTCCACACTTACTCAATATGAAAATAAAGGACTATTGTTTTGTTTAGGCCCAAAATTAGTATAAGGGGTATTTTTTAAAAAGATATTAAGGATAACAATTTCTGGACATCACTGTGGTCCTGTAGTGACTTTTGTGTGAACATGTTGAATTTAGAAGTGCACACATAAAAAAATAAACATTTATAATATTACATGCATGCATCAATTCATAATTTCCATACACAGAAAACTGCACCAGGAAAATGAAAGAGTCCTAAAGAATGTAAGAGCAATTTAATTTATATTTACAATACAGTGCCCATGTTAAATAGTTTACACATTCACATTATACGATTTTATAGTACAAGTATTACAATAATTACAGAATAACTGTTTCACAGAATAGTCACAAATTATACACATAGGTCATCAACTCTGTTTTTCAGATTTGGATGAAATAAAAGAATATACATGGAGTCTCCGTAGAACCGCTTCAGATTTACTATAGATATTCCCTCTTGTTCGAAAATATCCCCTAGATGTTTTTTTTTTTTTTGGTCATTATAATAACTTGCTATTGTTTATATTTTTAGTTAAAAACACTAAAACAATCATATAATACAGAGGCAAACATAAGTGAAAAGGAAAAGTTCTCAAACAGCTAATGTCTTGCAAAATATTATAAGATCATGCACTCTCATTCAATATCTTTAATAAACACCAAAACATCTCACAGCTCATACATATCCTTCGTCTGTTTGGATGACTCATACTCACAAGCAAAAAAAAAAATCCATGTTCAAAGACAATATCTCATTTATTTCTATGAGTGTCTTGCCGTACCCTAATCAGGTCACTTTTATGGACGAGTATGCTTTGTTTGCTTTTGCTTTGTCATCTTTAGATTCACCATGGCTTATTATTGACACAGCTTGTGTTGTTGTTGTTTGAGGGTTCCTGGAAGCCCTGCTGCAGTGATTCTGATGCCAGGACTTGCATAACACGTTCCTTCGTTTGCGGCACAATCTGACCACCAAATCCCTCGGCGTCCACGGCGAAAGCATTAACATGACCATAGGCTCAAGAAATACATTGCAGGAGCAGGAAAGCATGGCTTCACTTCTCCACTCCACATTAGTGTACAAGACAAAGCCCACCACGTGGGAAACATTGTAGGGTAAATAACAGACCACAAATACTACTAAAGTGGAGAGTGCAATGGCTAACACCCTTCTTTTCCCAACAGAGGGCAAAGCTGAGTGTCTGACAAGCACAAGGCAGCGCAGTGTGCAGAATGCTGACAAAACAAGCGGCACCATGAAGAGCAGCAGCGCCATCTCCAGGCGTACCGGCACCAGCACTTCCAACTGCTCCTGGGTGAAGTTTTCATAGCATGCCGAGACATTCTCCTCTGATAAAGACACAAAATGGCCCCCTCCTTCAGCAATAAAAGCAAAACCCAAGTGTACAAGCACTAAAAGCCACAAGATGGCGCTCACCAGGCAAGAGGTACGCGCCCGGCGGTATAGTTTGTAAGTTATGGGATAGGCGATACTCAGATAACGGCCCACGACGACTGCTGTGAGGATCAAACTGCTCCCGTAGACCGAAGAAAACAGAAAGAAGCTGTAAACAGGACAAACCGCAGCTGGAAGAGCCCAACCTTGGAGCGTCTCGGCCACTTTGACTGGCATCCACGACACTAGAGCCAGGTTTGCCACACACAGGTTTAGAGCGTAGACTACATTGGGGGTGGCACCGTGTTTTCGAGCCTTACGGATGTACACGAAAAGAACAAGGAGATTGCCGGGAAGTCCAAGCAAGAAGGTCAAGATGTAGACCAACAATGAGACGAAGCTGGATGCTGTCAACTCCATGTCAGATCAGTTTGTCGATTCGTAGCTCACCTAGATCAGTTAACTAATGCCTCCTTTTTATAGGCTCTCCATTGGCTGTCAATATTCCTTCGTTATTCCATTTGGAGGAATAGCCGTTCCTGAATCAAAAAAAGTGCTGAACACTCTCCAATCTGTGTGAGCAAAAAACATGAAGACAATAAGGAAGTTCGTATTTGCACAAAAGTTCGTATTTATTTGGAAGGCACCGAATAGGGTGGGGTGGAAGGGGTGTTAGATGGGCAGTTAGTGCATCTAAGAGCTTGAATTGGTCTGATATGAGGCGCAGGGATGGGCACTTAATGCAGCAAGATGCCATTTATACAGTCTAACGTTGCCTTATTTGCCCTTGGTGCACACGCTAGATCAGGCCCCTTTAGTGAAATGATTCAGAATAATTGGGCTTTGCAGGAAGCTGAGCCCATCCAGCCGTGACTCTGTCACTTGAAATGAACTGGACGGTTAAACCATTAAAGCTGTAAACTCACTAGGAGTCTGTTTGGGGATGTCATTCAGGAAAGGCTATTGCACACATACAATGAATTAACTTGACACTTTTATAGTGGCTTGCAAAAAGCCATGGGATCAGTTTATGAAGTATGATCATTCTGGTTGCATATATTCCAATATATTAGTATAAATTCAGTACAAATTTCCAATATATATCAGTATAAACATGCAAAGTATAAATTATAAGTGATTTATTCACAAGGGATCTCAAGAAAAGATAAATGCTTTAATAAAAGTCTAAAATGATTAAAACCAGTGAATGTAGTATATTCTAAATATTTCAATTACATTTCAAACAATACCAGCTCAAACCAAACATGCCTAACCATGTCAAATTATGTATTTAAAGACACTGAGCTTAAAAACCAAAGAAACCAGAAAGTTCAGCAACTGTGTACAACCTCAATTTTAGGATTATAAGAACAGTTATAACAACAAACATATCAACACCAAAAGTAGCACCTTAGTCTTCATATAATGGCATTTAAATCTAAACTGATCATACTCTTGTGACCAACCACGATTTGAGCTCTGCCATATTTGCCATGCACTTAACCTCATTAAAAATACCTTCCTCCTCGTTATTTCGCATAGACGTAAATAGTCCCATTTAGATACATTAGTGTAGCAGTTAACTTCAACAGAACTGATAAATCCTCACCAGTGGCTAGGCATAGATTTTTGTGTCACCCATTCTTTTATCATGTTCATCACTGAGAGTCAAAGTCCAGTCTAAATAGAGGCTTTCATATGACATTATCTTCCCTTCCCAGACATAAAACAGAAAGCTGTTGACAGATGGATTAACATTGTTGTTGTAAAGGTCTGTGAAATCAAAAAAGGCCATTTAACAATGCAACACAATGATCCACATGCAGGTTACCGTGAGTCAAGAAAATAATCATTATACAACTATTAAAACATGTTAGTACGTTTTCATATTTAAGATGTTTGCTCCATTTTAGCTCATAAAATCAAATAAATGTTTGAAATGCGATACTCAGAAGCCATTACCACATCGAATACACATTTGTTTTCTATCTTGAGGCTGGTAAACATAAGGAAACAAATTTGTAAAATACTGGAATCAAGAAAATACAATTTATTTTGCAAATTAATAAATAGTTTCCATCCTCTCTCTTACCAATTAAATTGCCCATTTTTGCAGCTCAACTGGTAGATCGTAGTGCTGGCAACTCCAAAGGTCTGGGTTTAATTCCCAGGGAATGTAAGTACTGATAAAATGTATCCCTTGAACACACTGTAAGCCTCTTTGGATAAAAGTGTCTGCGAAATGTGTCTATCTACTGTACTTCCTCTTCATTACCTCACCATGACTGGCCAGACCAAGTTGCTAAATGTCACACCTATGTCATTGACTTATAAATGTGTTTCCAACACTTCCAACTTAAACACAAGTAAAGTCTGCATGGGAAACTTTTATGCTAAGGTGACCAGACGTGCCACTTCACGGGGGCACATTCTGCTCAGGATTTCTAAATTGCCTAAAATAACCAGGCTTTGGCTGTTTGCGCTGCACAGATCGATCGTTGTATGACATCTAAGTACCGTGAGAGCTGTAGAGAGCAGAGCACTGAGAGCAGACGGATGTCATACAACGATCGATCTGCGCAGCGCAAACAGCCAAAACCTGGTTATTTCTGTCAGGACCATTATCATCAAAGATGACTGACAATTAGCATACAGTTTGGATTGGCGGTATGGCTCTGTTCTGGGCAAGAACTCCCTGCGCATCCATGCAGCCTAGCATGGAAGAGAGCAGGGAGAGCAGCAATAACCCCCCAGGGTGAACAGAACTAACATAAATGTATTGCAGATATCATTAGTGTTCAATAATTTAATGTAAACATTTTAGAAGTAATTCTGATTTAAAGAAGACTCAGAAAGCCGAATCCTGACTGAACAAGAGGAGGAGTTGGGGATGGAGGAGGGTAATTAGCTATTGAGCAACGCGAAAGCTGGTTAAGGTTCTTATATATGGGTGCTGTGATAGATGTCGCATCCCTATAGACGTGGATCAGCTTAGAGTCAGCTGATGCGAGCTTGACTAACCTGACCTGCCAAAACTAACGCTATGCTTGATTTTAGGCAATTTAGAAATCCTGGGCAGAACGTGTCCCCGCGAAGTGGCATGTCGGGTCACCTTATTTTATGCCCTCATGTGAAACTCCTCCTGTATTCCTGTGGGAATGACTGGATTTTCCCCATAAAATTTTGCTGAGCAATGGCAAATGTGACGTCACCGTAAGTATGAGGTATGAAACGGTGTCAACTCAAGCAAGGTCCAGCTTGTGTCTGCCACTAGAATTGGTGAGAGGCACCACAGCTGAGGGCAGACCCTCAGTCTGGACCCCCAGAGTCAGGCGCTGACGGGTCTGGCTGCTGCGCTGCTCCAGCGACAGAGCGTCCTGCTTACGAGACAAATCCTCTATCATCTGAGCTTCATGCTGTTTCAGAGACTGCAGAGAGTGCCTGGGAATCAAAGGTGTTCACAGGTCAGACTTTTTTTGAATTTGCAGTATTGATATAAAATACAAGGAGGAATTGAGTTAAAACAGTGGACTCACTGGGCGTGTGCTAACTTCTGTTTCAGTGCCAGAATGGTGACTTCCAGTTGCTTGGCTTCATCCACCAAACCAAACTGAACCTGGGAGTAACAGGTTATGAGATAACCAATCAAAACGCAGCAGATTAAGATGGATTGTGTTTGTTTTTCACAGGGTGAAATTAACTAGAACAAAGGTCATGCATCTCTTTATTGCTGATGACAATGTACGATCACATTATTGTTGTTTGGTGAAATCCAGTAATTTCAATCCACCTTATTTTTTAACGTAAGAGTGGGTTTTGTAACCATTTGTAACTTGAATGTGCAAGGCTTCTGGTGTCACATGCTGCTTGATATTTGTTATGTTATGCTTAATATCATATTATATTTTCATTTATTATCGTAATCATAAATAGTTTTATTGTTTACTACACTTTATTATTGTTCTAGATATTTACCTATCCACCTTATTCTTCAATGTGGAAGTAAGCCTATGGGCGAGACTTCTGGTTCATTAGCCGCTATAGGGAAATACCGAGAAGAATTACAACGTGCAGTAAATGGTAAAACTGTTTGCACTACAAACCAGTGTGTTCATAATTAAGATAATACATAAAAATAATATGGTAAGACACACCAATTTGCAATATCAAGCAACTAAAAATAGCTGGAAGCGAATAAGACCAGAAGCAAGACCCATGAAATTTACAAATGGCCACGCCCATTTTTACGGGAAGAATAAGGTGGATAGCTAATGAATCAGAAGTCTTGCACATTTACAGAAAATAGCTTACTTTTGTGCTGCAAAATAAGGTGAAAAGAAATATGGAATTTAGCATGAGGGTGCAAGATTTCCCCATGCCAATGTTATGATTAGGCTCAAGTTCGTCTTGTGAATTTGAGGCATTGACCAAAGAAAAGCTGTTTGGTTTGAAAGTAACTTTTATGCAAGTTGTACTGCATACATCTTCACACAATAGTACAATAGTACACAACCTTTTTTGCCTGCAAAATTTTGACTAATTTTTGCTAATGTGACAGCACCGTTATGCAAGTTGCCAATCAGCTGGTTGTAGAGTTTACCTCATCTCGGCACAGGTCTATGCCAGGCCTCTTGATCCTGTTCTCTAGACGGGTGTGGACCAGCTTTAGAGGAGCCGTCTTGGCCTGCATGTCCTCCTCTAGGTGACAAATGTCCTTCTCCAGCTCAGCAATCTCTTCTTGAGTCTGAAAGATATCGGCACACATACTAAAATAAAAGAAAGATCCATCCATTACCACATGGGATACTACTTTCTGATTGGTCAATTGCTACATTACAGTATCAGATATTTTTGAATAATCACTTGTATAGACCCCAACAACCACTGTGCTAGTTTCACATCTCTCATATCACTCCACAGTCTGTTTTTTCAATAAGCAAATAGTATGCACTCAAATCAATGTCCATGTATTGATTTTTTTTGCGGGAAGTCATATAATAGGAGGATATTTTGCAGTCCGCTGGTTATTATCGCGAAATAAACCCCTTCAGAATGATACTAAATCTTTTACACCTCATTTGATCACCCTGTGGGGTTTATTTGGGAATAAAGACCAACTGACCCATATTTCATTGCTGAACTTCCACATTCATATTTCAATTGTGTGTAATTTTCTTTAACTCCCTATTATACTAGATGATAGTTCATCATTCCCAGTTTCACTGCATATTCAAAAACACCAGAATGATATTAAAAAAGGGGGAGAATAAAGAAGAGGCCTTACAGTTTTTAGCTGCCATTGCATTTCATGATAGGCCTGTTCCTCGTGGTGAGTTCGCTTACGGAGAGCAAACTCCACTGCCATTCTTTGGGCCTCCAGCTCATTCTGCACCTAAGAGAGAAGATGTATTTAGTGAACGGATATCATATTGAACGGATATCCTGTTACAGTGTTGAACTGCAAGTCATTTTGAACATCTTAAAAGTCCCTTGAATATTTAAAAAAAAAAAAAAGCTTTTTACTACACTAAATGATTCAGTTTAAATCTGTAGACCAGATGTGGCACCTGTGCTCTTGTGATGCTGTTGTTCTCTCTTATCTGCACAGAGGCCTGCATCTCTTCTTTAGCTCGGGCAACATTGTATCGGCTGAACTGCTCCCACTGCTGTGGAGTTGTGGAACTGCAAACAAAAATGAACAAAAAAAAAAAAAAAAATATTATATTTGTAAAAAATATTTTATTAAGATTTTACCTATTTGGGGTCCCTTCGTAGAACTTGGCCTATAGTCTCTGGATGTTCAATTATTATTATTATGTTAAGATAGCTCTTTAGAAGTAAGATTACTCTTAAGCTCACCCGGGGGGCACTCTTGTGGGGTTTGGCTTCAGGGAGATCTCAGGTGACCGCATAGTGAGAGACAAGCATGACATGTCCACATCAAGGGCCTCTATTTTATCCTGAAGGTCAATGGTCAACTGTTGCCGTGCTTCCTGTAACCGACTAAGAAGATATGCCGAGATTAGCAACCACATAATCTTCATCATATCAACAGGCAAAAGTCAAGTGAGATATGATTGTCATCCAAAATAAACAAAGCAGATTGATACTGAATGGTTCAAACCAATTAATGTCTATCTGAATGTACTTACCACAGCTGTTCAAAGGCCTGGTCAATGCACTGCTGAAGGATGCGTTGTGCTCCATCAATCACCTCTACTTCCTTCTTTAGTTCAGCTTCTACAGGGTCACTGACCAGCTCCTTGCCACGACGACCTTCCCTGAGGTTCAAGCACTCCGCAGTGACTTCAAGGGGCAGAACAGTGGCAGCAAGAGCTCGTTCTGTCTCCTCCTTGGACTTAGCAATTTTTATGGGTTCATGATTAGACTTGAGATTTTATTAATTTTTTTTTACATTACATTGATTTTTTTTAACAATACATTTTTTTCACTGGATTTTTTTTAATTAAAACAAAGATTATTTATGGAAGCTTGCTTCCACCAAGGAATAAAAAAGGTAAAAAAGGTAATTGCCACTTTATATCTTACAATTCTGACTTTTTTCTCTGAGATATAAAGTCGCAATTGTGAAGAAAAACATTGCAATTTTTATTCAGTGGTGGAAAAAAAAACTTAATTGCAAGATATAAAATCCGAATTGTGAGATGTAAACGTGGGAATTGTGAGGAAAAAAGGTCAGAATTCCGAGTTTTTATCTCGCAATTTTGACTTTTTCCCCCCTCAGAATTGTGAGAAATTGTGTGATATATACTCAGAATTATGAGAAAAAGTAAAAACTGCGAGATATAAACTCTATATTGTGAGATATAGGCATCCATTCACCTTATTAGAAGTGTACCATCAGAATGTTTTTAAAACTGATATTTCAAGGTTAAATAATAATAAAAAATACATATAGTTGCTTTAAGATAACTTAAAAAGATGGAGAAAAGAAGTGTGAACATGGTTTTTATGAACTCATTAATCACCAGAGTAAGAGCGTCCATTTCTGCATCCACTTGCTGTGCACAAGCTTTCAGATTCTCCCACCAGCGCGTGACGTCATTGATTCTGTCACTCAGTCGCCTGCTGCTGTCATACTCATCCCAGTTTGTCTGATAACAATAACAGCAAAATATTTGATAATTAGTGCTACAGTCTTTCTACGCTGTCAAACAACTTTCAAACCACCCTGATCATTACCTTACTGGTCGTCTCATTGCGCAGAGCTCTTCCTTCCTGGCGTATCTCATGTGAAATATTGCGCTTGTTTTCAGCAGTGTGTGATATCTGTTTATTATTAGTCGCCCAGTCAGACACACTGTAACGCAAGCCTGGCTTGGAGCTCAGGGTGGCCATGTTTGCTGGTATCATAGAAACAAGATGACAATTAAAGACAAAAGAAGTAGTTCTAGTAAACAGGCAGATGGTTAACCATCTGATTCTAAAAGGTTCTAATCTGTTTGTGTTTTGATTTGGCAGGTTGCATAAACTGTTTAGACTAGCCTTAAAAAGTTTGTCATCTTTTTTTTTTTTTTTTCTCAAGACTGGTCATAACTTTTTTTTTAATTCAGTTATGAAAAGGTAGATTGGTCTTATTTGAATTGGAAACGTAAGACTGATTACCCCTTGGCAACTGCTGCTCAAACTAGTTCTTAAGACACAATCTTTACATGGTGGCTAACTGGCCCAATTGTTATTTGTGCGAAAAATATATATTAATGAAACTATTTTTAAAACTACTATTATTATTGGACATTATCAGCCTATCAGTTAAATTCACTCTGGTAAAGCAAACTTCTCTTTTCTGTATTTTAAGAAGCATCATAGTTTAGTAAAACTACTAGTAATAATAGCAAATTAACAATTATTATATCGTTTAGTAATGTATTTGATGCATAAATAATCAGAATGATAAAAGACAAAAAAAATTATAATGCCAGAGCAAGCAATCTCGGATATTTGACGTGACATTTCAAGCAAATAACTTTTACTTATTCCTGTGTATTTATCCTGCATTTATCATATATTTATGCCTATATGTATTTCACGACCTCGTAATTGAGAGGTTATATTGAATATTTGTACTTTTATGAAATGATTTGTCACACAGCAGGGCTACGAGTTAAACTTAAATGAAAATTGAGTTTCTGCACCTAAAATATACTTTGACTTGTGTATTCATATACATTTAACAGTAAAATCTTTGTTAAGTAAAGTTCATATACATGTCATTTGTAAACCACTGAAAACATTCATTTGACTTACCGAAACTGATGCAACTTTCAGATGTGTTGTCAGTCGCTGTTGTGAGTCCAGCAGTAAACACGGTAAGCGGGTCTCTTGGTAACGGGGCGACGCAAGTGCAGTTTATTCAATAATTTATACAGCATAGCAACACTCAACAGTTACTCACTCACTGAGACGTTTCATCGTCTCACCGTGACATGTGCCCACGACCACTCAGAAATCCGAAAAACACTTGGGGTGGGATCAGTTTGACTTTTTCCATCATCTAGAACAACACCCTAAAGACCTCACAGCAACGTGTAATAGCCACTCAGAACACTTTAGTAACCGTGGCAAATTCCCACAACACTTCTTGCACTTTTCACCTTTTTTATTCAGAAAATGTACAAATGTTATTAATAGTTCCCCCTCCCCCTTTCATTCAACCATTCATTCTGTTTAAATACATACAATTAGTTTAGCTAATTTTTACAGCTTTGCGTTGAATACTTGACAATTATTTTCATATAGCATATTTTTATCCTCTAACATTACTGTATCTGTGTACATCTAGGTTATTCATGATTTATTGGTCAAAATACGTCATGAATATTTCTGTGCTCAATTAATGGAATGATTATTTTGGCATCAATTGGTTTATTTTCCGTTTATTCAGTTTTTTTTTTTCACAGACACGAAAATGTGTTGAATATGAATTAGGAATAAATTGTAGTTATATCATAAATGTATCATGTTTGCAGTTAGATAATGAAATACAGAGTTTCTATAAATAGTCCATCTCTGCTGTCTCAAGATGTTTTGTGATGTGGTCCAGTAGATATTTTTCATTTGCTGCTTCTTTCAAGTAAAAATGAGATCCAGGAAGCATCTGCACAGTGAAGTCACCACTTGTCATGTCCTTCCAAGCTGTAAAGCAAAAAGAGACACAATACAAGAATTGCACATAAAACTAAAGCTTGTAAATGATGACAAAATCATGCACATGTGATTCTAATTATTAACAAATAAGCAGTTTATTCTTTCTAAGTTTACCACTTTATAAAACCGAAACTATTTAAAAATTGTTTTAGTAAAAACTGAACCATTTATCTGTCAGATTCACCTTGTAAGTCATGGGGTGCATCCTCTTTTCCGTCGAAGCATGATACTGGACATGACAGGAAGGGTGTTGATGGTCTGCTACATCTGCCGGACAGATTAGTATTATATGTAAGTTTGTTCCATGCCACATATGTTGATGTTTTCTTACACTAAAGAAAGACACTGAACCCACCTATAATTGTCCACTACACAGAGATCTGCTTTCAGCGCAGGTAAGAAGAGTTTGGCGAGCTCAGCATTGGCCAGTATCTCTGGTGGTGTGCCTCCAATAGAAGTGACCCACACAAGAAACTCTTGATCTGACATATGACTTCTTCTTGGTGCCTGCAGTCTTGCTTCAGACTTACAGAAAAGTTCAAAAGTTTAGAAGACAAACATATACGTTTAAATATATTTACACATAAAGGTATAGTTTTTTAAATAATGATAATACAAATTTCTCACCTTTGCAACAACATAAACCACAACACATAAAATGGACAGATATGACAACATACAGAACAGATCACACTTACATATGGTGCGGAGGCTCCAGAGAGAAACATGTGGATCGGCTCAAGGTTGTAGACCTTCTTTACATGTTCGGCAAAAGCAAAGCAGGTCATAGCTCCAAAACTACAGAAAGAAGTTGCAAATGAACAGGTATTTATTTATTTATATAAAAAGGTATATATTTGTCATGTTCTGGCCCATGTTCCTTTTCAATTGACTATCATGTTCTGGCCCTACACATCAGCTTGTTTATATAATTTAACATCATATACTTTTATATATACCTTTTTAAAACCTATCATCATTTCCTGCTACTTTAGTAACAGTGTCACAAACCTATGTCCAAAGAGTGCAAATGGCTTTTCTCTGAGATGTGGAAGAAGCACACCGATGATCTCATCAATGATTTCCTGCATATTTAGAAAAAATGGTTCCTTAGCTCTTCCTTCTCTGCCTGGCAGTCGAACGGAGTACACTGAAAATAAATGAACAATTAAATGAAACTAAAAATATCCTACCTTTGAATGAACAATCAAATGATTAAAATTTCGTTTTAAAAATGTAATTAATACAATGAATGTAAAAAATGCAATTAATCTTATATTATTAAATGTATTTGTTTGTTTGTTTGATTGATTGTTTTAAGTAGCAGAGTTACCTTCAATAGAGCTGTTGAGAGTTTTGGCCCAGCGAGCATAATGGATAGAGCCTCCACCTGCCCAGGGAAAACAGATGAGATGGACCGAAGCATCTGGGCACTTGTTGAAACAGGTTATGACTTTATCCATTCCTCTGAAACATTAAGACATGAATTAAGAATCATTTATCCTAGGCAAAACAATTGATCAAATACATATAGGAAATAGAGTTATCTGGTCATGCAAATGGACTGATGCCACATATGGAAGACTAGAAAAGAAACATGAAAAAATAACTGAATGTACCCTGCAGTACTTTTGTTTACCTGGAGAGAATATTCCACATGTTAGTGAGATACACATAGTTTAAGTTATTGATCTCAATGCTTGTTTAGCTGAATTTTAGCTTAATCAATCACATGCATATAATGGAATAACATTTTAATTGAGTAGCACGTATAAATAAGGTTTGAGCTTTTTGTAGGTTATCAGCATTCTGGCGTACATTCACGACTTTATGCAGCTAGTTATTTACATACTTCAATATGTAAGCCACTGATTTATGCCCAAATGATTTAATCTTTCGTATGGGATGATTTAAGAAAAAAATGCATTTTAATTAATTGATCCTAATGTTTTAGAAAATAGAAATTACACCAGTACAAAAAAAGGATTAATAAAACCACAAGATACTGTACTCACGTTTGTAGTGCAGAATATATCCTGTACACAAGCTTCTTCTTCTGTGGTTTTTATTTGGCGGTTTGCAAACGAAGTACATTACCGCCATCTGCAGGACTGAAGTGTGAACTCATTGGGATATAAAATATTAAAGTCTACTCTGTGTGTGTGTGTGTGTGTGTGTGTGTGTGTGTGTGTGTATATATAAAAATAATAATAATACAATTAAAATTAAATCCTGTTTACAAGCTGAGTTTCTTTCAGAAAAGTCATGACAGCCTTAATTATATATTGTGTGCCAGGCAGACTCAATACGTTTGTTAAACTCAATCCATTATTCGATGCCCTCTGTAGTTCTTTCCTTTTTTCAGAGTATTTCTAACATATCAATGTTTTACACTTTCCACTTCTCCACAATGTATACATAATCATGTCTGGTTTGCAAACGAAGTACATTAGCGCCATCTGCAGGACTGAGGTGTGAGCTCATTGGGATATCAAATTTTTATCATCTACTCTGTTTGTGTGTGTGTCGTGTGTGTGTGTGTGTGTGTGTGTGTGTGTGTGTGTGTGTGTGTGTGTGTGTGTGTGTGTTGTGTGT